GATTTCACTGAATTTGATGTTATTATAAATAATTTAAGCAATTTAAGCCATCTGGACCTCTAGAATAATAACTCGGAGAAAAAAAATTAAAAGAAGTCTATAACAGAAAAACGAAAATGGCCTAGATTAGGAATTGCCTTATTGAGTCCATAGTAAGCCACAAAGGGCGGAATTAGGCTTGCATCTTAATCCTAATGTATGAATTAGATCGAAAGCTTGAACCAAAGTTAACCAGTATGTGAGTAGAGTACACTTATTTTTGTGTTTCGCGTATTCAAGAGTGAATAAGCATTGTTCTATTGAGTGACAGATCTGTAAATATGAATTCGTATAGTACTATTGAACTGTCCTTTTTAAGAACTGAATGTAGTATTTTTAAAATAGAGATCTCTAAATGAACTAAGTGGACCACAGTGAAAGCAGAAGCAACCAATGTGGACCAAAGGTTCAAATTACCTAATTCATAAAGGACCAAAGTTAAAAGACCCCCAAAAAAAGGAAAACGGCGTCGTTAGTTGTGTCAGCAGAAAAGGCAAAGAACAGAACTCACTCGTTAGTTGTATACAATACCCTGAGCTGAGAAGACTCAGAAAACTTAGAAGAACATTTGGAGAAGATGGTGAAAGTGGCAACGTTCTTTGCAATGTCTTTAGGTGCCTTCGCTTTCTGGCAAACCATGGACAAAATCCATGTATGGATCGCTCTCCATCAGGATGAGAAGGTAATTTCCAAAACCCTAATTTTGTGTTTGTGCTTCCTTTGATGAAATGAACCTCCCGAATCCTATTTGGGTTCTTTTCCTTCTGTGAGGAAATGAACTCAGAATTATATATGGTCTTTTTGGATTTTGGGCTTTCTCGATCTGGATCGTAATTGGTTTCTTGAACTCATAAATTAAGGATGCTGGTATTGTTGCTCTGAGATTTGTAAAGGTGCAGATTTTTCTGACATTCAGATGTATGGTATTTTGAGAGGAATTCATTAAATTATTGTTGGTGTTTTCGGAGAGGATACTCAGTCTAGATGGTTATCCTTTTCCTTCTAGGGGAACTTAGATAAAAACCTCAGGAATTTGGAGAATTAGTATATCAGAATGTTAAGCTGTTATCTTCTGCAAGCTATTGTAACATTAAACTTATGAGTCATTCCATGAATCTATGCGCAGAGTGATACAACAAGACTTAGCAATGCTACAGGAGTAACAATGGACCAGTTTGGAAGTGATTGATGCCTAGTAGATCTACAGCATGGGTCATATTCTTGCTAAGATGATTGATGAAAATTTTTAGGGAGAAGAAGAATGATCTACACATGGAATTCATTGACCTAGAAGTGTGCGAAAGCTGGCTTAAACACCACTATTATTTAAAGTGCTTTGGTGGGTGCTGGAGAAGAAAATAATTCATATTTAATATATAAATGTTGTAAAGGATACATTCTGTCACACGTGTGAGCACTGTGGTAGGAGGGATAAAAGAATTTCTCATAACCCATGGTTTACACTAGGGATCTGCATTGGTTACATACTGAGGTTTACTTTATTATGGATGAGCTAACTAGTAGTGTGTTGGTGTATGTTGTTTGATGACGATGTTGTGTTAATTGACACAACTAGTGAGCTTGTTAACCAAAAGTTTTAACTGTGGGGAAACAGTTCAAGTTTGATGACGATGTTGTTTTAATCTGCAGAGAAAAGGTTTCAAGTTAAGTAGAAGTAAGAAGTAAGATAGGATATATGTACCGCAAGTTTTGGCCAATATTAGACGAGTGAAATCGAGATGAGATTAAATGGGATTGATGTGCCTAAACACGAATAATTCATACATCTAGGCTCAATGTTCCACGAGAATTATATGATAGATATGATGTAATACATAGAATTAAGATAGGATGGTTGAAATAGAAAAGTGCAATCGGAGTATTTTGCTATAAGAAACCTATGGAGGTGAAAGGCTAGTGCTATAAAATGGATATAGCGCCAGCAATGTTTTTTATGGTAGTAGTCCTCTAAGATCCAACATATCCACAAAATACAAATATTAAGATGGGTGTGTTATCATACAAGATTAGAAATAATTACATTCAACAGGAGGTTCAAGTAGCACAGATAGAAGATAAAATGCGTGGAGGTCATTTGAGACCTTCGGAGGCACCGGTCTATAGCTATGAGACCATGATGGAAAGAAATTGTCTAGAAGGACCTACATCTCGTAGCATCCATGCAAATTTATAAAAGATACAACACAGTGGAAGAAAAAGATCCATATAAGTGATACCAACTAGATGAATGTAAGGCTTATTCTTAGTGGTGCGCTCACATTAGTCCAATATTTGCTTGGTTCATCTTAATCTTGTTGGAGGATTTGTGTGTCAATAAAAAATGTAGAAAAAACATATGTTATTTGTGAACCTTATTTATTACATATTGGAGTATGACAAGTCTAAATAGAGCGACACGGATAGTGATGATTCATATAGCCGATCCCAGCTACCTCGGATTAAGCTTAGTAGTTGTTTTTGTTGTTGTATCATAATAACCATGAATGACTCTTTAAATGCTTGTCTTCCTATAATTCTTCTTATTGGTTTCTTGAACTTATCAATTTTACAGATTTTAAGGATTCATGCTGTATTGTATGTCTGGATTTTTGGGAAGTGTAGACTTTCTAACGTTCAGATTGTGGGTTCCTTGACCGAATTTTTTTTAACTTTTACCTTATAAAAAAAAAACTTTTGTTTTAATATTGAAATCAAATGCTAGAATGCCTTGAAGCGCACCTGCTGTACTGAATTGTCGAAGAAGACTTGGCAATTTGTTTCTTACCTGTATGTTCTTAGTTTCTTTTTTTTTTTTTTTTTTTTTTTTTTTTTTTTTTTTGGATTGGGGGGGGGTTATTTATAATCTAGATGCTTGGAAGAATTAGTATACTTACATTCCAGTATTAAATATCTCCGCCTTCCCATTCCTTTATCAAAGTCTAGTACTTATGCCTGCAGGTTGGATGTTTTGCCTTTCTTCTCGAGGACCTCCTTAGTGAAAGCCTTGAAATATTATGAGTAAGGAGTACATAACAAGTAATAGGCAGCCCATCCAAGTGTTATGGCCTCTCTTGCATCAGCTACTGATATTGAAACACTACCAACCTGCACATTTTTTTACTTGAAAACTAGTCACTTTTCCACTTGCATGATCAAAATACTTGCAGGATGTCCCAACAAAAATCTTGTATGCAATATCCAAATATCCGCTCTGTTGGCCTTTTTGTTTAAAGGAGTATCATGCTTACAGGCTCTCAGTAGAAGACCCATCTCTGTAGGCCAACCTTCATTTTGTTGGGGTCCGACGTGAAGCCAAGACTGTCAATTGTCACCTTTGTATGGTCGTCGGGAGAGATATTTATCCAAAAGAAAAAGGTCATTGGCGTAACTACTGCCGACACCGCCAGTGAGCAATTGAAAATGCTAGTCTGCAGTCCTCATGCCAGTAAGTGCATGCCAAGAAAATAGGCTTTGATCCTTCTCACTCCTAGTCTATCACTGTGGAAAATCCACTTGAACATGGATTAAAGTGTATATAGATTTGTCCGGCAGATACCAGTTTTGGTGTGAAGTGTCAACTATGTAGGACTTACAGAATTGAGATTATCAGTTTTCTGCTAGCCGAAGTGTTATCTGTGTGATATACGATCAAGTGAATGGTTCTTGGGGAGTCTTGCTTTGACCGCTATGATAAGGGTCCTTTTACTACAACGGTTAGAGACTAGTCAAATGCCATATGCCCACTAGCCACATAAAGTCTCACTCATGTACTACATAATTGTCTACTTTTACCAAGTTGTATGCCTTTCTTTGCTTCTTTGTTTTTCTTTATCTTTGTTTAAAATGTTGATGACTATATGAGTTTGGCTCACTGCAGCAAGAGAGAATGGAGAAGGAAGAGGAGATCAGAAGAATGAGAGCACAGCTAATCAGAGAAAACAAAGAGCGGGAGTCTCTTGCCTAAGCCGCCAAGAATTGCACTGCATTCAAATCAACAATTTATTTTTGCTGTCGTTTTGAATCTTTCTGGACTTCTGGTTCTATACTGAATTTCCAAAAAAATCATGGAACAATGGTCATGAATGTCGTCAATGTACTCAAAGCTTGGACCTGTCTAGCAGTCTGCCGTTCATAGCAGGATTATGCTTGCATTATTAAACCTGTAGCTACTTTTAATCTGACAATAAATACCAATTTTTTTGGTTTAGTTGGAGTAAATTACGGTGAATTGCTATTTATTGGTTACTCTTGCATAACCAGTGCAACTCATACACTTTGCTCTCACATCCTCAATTCTTTGCTGTTAAACATGGGATAGTTGCATATTTGTGCCGCTCAAGGCTGTTAGTTTGTGCAGTTCGTGTGTTTGGTACAGTTTGATGATTTTGACAAAAGGAACTGCTAATCTTGGTTTTGCTCACAGTGAAGGATAGTAGTATGAAAAAACATTTGAACATTGACGGTTACATTCAGTAACGCTTCTTAGCTTTTTCTTCTTTTCCTTTATCGTGCTTGCTTTGTTTGTCCAAGACAAACTATAAAGATGTGTCCTTGCTTGGCTGTAATTATTCTCCTTTGACGCATGTCTAATTAAATTAGCATCTCTTGTTGTTCTTTCTCAACCATTTTGTTGCCTGAAATCCTTTTGATTAATATTGAAGATTTTGACAGAATTTTGAATATTTGATTCTGTCAAAATGAATGTCTTTCCTTCCTCGCCTCACTTGATTATTTAAGAAAGTTGAATGAGTGAGAGTTCTGGGCTTTAAGTTCCAAGTATAGTTGCTGGTGTTAGCTTATGGAAACATAGGTTGTCTCTGCTTGGTAAGTACAGTGACTCTGCACTTGTTTTAGGTGAAAGATTTGATTATGAATCTACAAGAGTTCAATTTTCCTGTATTTGCTGCAATATGGACTGGTAGTCGTTCCTGAAATCTGCTGATTGCATATAAATAATTACCTGTTCCTTTACTGGCAATTGTAACTATAATTACAAGGTCTTCTTTTGGTATTTCTACAACCAGGCACTTTAATCACTAGTTACCCCCAGCTCTCTCCCCCCTAAAAACAATCCCAATCAAATTACTCCTTATCCAAGTGAGAGAGTTGCATAGCCAGATGCCATGTAAAACATTTACGTGCACTCAGTGTTTACATGGAACTGAGTATTCATATAACCGACTCTAATTAGTTTGTGATGGAGGCATCGTTAATTAAACCGTGATCTTACACTTAATCGAAGGAAAATTCGATCTTTAAACAAATGACACGTCTTGGCATTTTGAAAATCTCATGGGGCATCCTTAATATAGCAGAAAGTAGGAAAAAGGATTCTTTGCATCATTCAGGCTTGCAAGAAATCGTGTCCAGCAGCCATCCAAATATATGCCAGTCGTCATTCTCTGCAAAACAAACTTAGCAAATATAACGTGGTGACATTATTAGATAAATCACAGCCTGATATCTATGCAAGTCTCACTTTTTAGAAAAAGTAAAGGAACTTTTCCCCTTATTATCTGTTAAAGACTAACGAATTTCTAACTGATGCAAAAATGTTAAAGGAACTTTTCCCCTTATTATCTGTTAAAGACTAACGAATTTCTAACTGATGCAAAAATGTTATCTAGGCTTACTCTATATAAAGAGCATATTAACATATGTTATTCTCAGATCATAGTTCTAATAATCTTTTTACCCTTATATTGATTTTTCAAATTTCCCTTTCTCAGTTTTGATAAAAAAGATGGAGTTAGGGAAGATTTTCTTAATTTCTCTTTTGTTGGCTATGGCATTTGGGTTAGTTCAGAGCTTAGAGTTCTCCGAAAAAGACACAGCATCTGAAGAGAGCTTATGGCATTTGTACCAGAGATGGAGGAGCCATCACACTGTTTCTCGAGACCTAAGCGAGAAACAAAAACGTTTCAATGTATTCAAGGCGAATGTGATGCACGTTCACAGGGTGAACAAGATGGACAGGCCTTATAAGTTGAAACTCAACGAGTTTGCTGATATGACCAATCATGAATTCAGAAATTTTTACAGCTCTAAGGTAAAACACTTTAGAATGCTCCATGGTAGCCAGCCTACTACCGGATTTATGCACGACAAGGCTGATAACCTGCCACCATCCGTCGATTGGAGAAAGCAAGGCGCTGTCACTGGTGTAAAGAATCAAGGCAAATGCGGTAAGTTGTTGAACTGTGTAATCATCTCATCTCATCTAAAGAGCTTAAGCTGTTAAAGAGAAGACTTTTTTAACAACTACTACTTAATATAATAGTATCATGTCTCAACCTTTTGTTTTACTACATGCTAATTTATCCCCTCATATATTTGCAGGTAGTTGTTGGGCATTTTCTGCAGTTGTTGGGGTTGAGGGAATAAACAAAATCAAGACTGGCCAATTAATTTCCCTTTCTGAACAAGAGCTTGTTGATTGTGAAAAGGATAATGAAGGATGCAATGGAGGACTAATGGAAAATGCCTATGAATTCATCAAGAAAAATGGAGGAATAACAACTGAGGGGATCTATCCTTACAGAGCAAGAGACAGTCGCTGTGATTCTTCAAAGGTAGAGTCTGCATTTAAACAACATACTTGATATATATGTTAACAGCCAGTTTCCTACAACTGTTTCTTTAACACCTTTTCGATTTCATCTAGATGAATTCCCCGGTGGTTAATATCGATGGACACGAAATGGTACCTACAAACGACGAGGATGCTTTGATGAAAGCTGTTGCCAACCAACCAGTATCTGTTGCTATTGATGCTAGTGGTTCCGATCTGCAGTTTTACTCTGAGGTAAAAAAAAAATTAACTTCTCAATTGAAACACAGACTGCTAACAAAACCAATCAGGATGAGATTACCACATAGTCATGTTAACAGAGGCAGAACAAAATTTTGATATGACAGGTTCAACTTGAACTTCTTACCTTCGAGTTCATTGTATTTTTAAAATTATGTGTGCAAAATTTAATATATGTTGAAGTTTTACTCATTTTCCAAATGCATTTATGCTCGTGTTGAAAATACTACGTTCAATTGAACCCAGTAAATAAAGGCTACATCGTCACGTGCCACAGCCCGAGCATTTTCTAAACATGACACATAAACCAGATTCTTTGATGAAATACTAATGTCAAATATAACCACATTTTGTAATATGCGACCAAACATTTTCCAGACATACCATATAAATCAATCAACTATGCCTCAACCCAACAAGTCGGGCTATGTTATACATTCTGCTCTCCTTCGAGTCCATCTGATGATATACCATATCAAATTTAAGCAGAACTTATAACATGTGAAAATGCAGGGAGTGTTCAATGGAAATTGTGGCACAGAACTAGACCATGGTGTAGCAGTTGTGGGCTATGGAGCAACTCATGATGGAACGAAGTATTGGATAGTGAAGAACTCATGGGGGACTGGATGGGGAGAAGAAGGTTATTTTAGGATGGAACGAGGCATCGACGTTGAAGAAGGACTCTGTGGCATAGCCATGGAAGCTTCATATCCAGTCAAGTTATCCGCGGACAATCCAAAACCAGCTCCCTCTAAGGATGAACTCTAGATATTGGTTCATGTATCTCTGCTTTAGAATATAGCATGCTAAAGTATTTAGAAAGAACATTAGGAGACAAAAAAAAGCAAGACATATATGTAATCTATCAGTTCTTTTGTATTGGATTGCATGAATAAAATGTTTCCTTCCATGGGGTTGCAATTTGTAAGTTTTGGCCTTTCACTTTACTTTCAACTCCATTTTGGTAACAGAAGCACGACAAAGGTTGGCTTGGGAAATTTTGGTAGTGCAATTGGTTGATTATCTTAGCTTTTACCTTGTTAGTGAGAGTTTAGTTCCTTACCCTCCCCATTTTTCCTTCCCCTCCCCTTACGTATGACATTTAGAGAAATCTAAAAAAAAATTGGCTTGTGGAAGGGCCAATTCTAGCCCATCTATTTAGTAACCCAAACCTGAAAATGATACTATACGGGTTAAACAAAGCAGCGGAATATAGAATAACAATAATTGAATGCAAAACTAAAGATAGATTTCGATTAAAGTAATGAAAATAAGTTTGAATAATCAAAACATAGAAGAAAATTTAGAATCCAAATTGAACGTTTAAGCAACAACCAAAGCTATTCCAATTGTCCTCTCAAGAACGATGAAATAGAAACTCTAGATATAAAAAAGGAGAAGGAAATTACTCTCAAGAACTCAACTTTTTTTTAAAAACAGGCTACCCAAAGTCGAACTCGAACCAAGAGGTTCCAAATCTCTCTGAAGAGTTCTTTTATGTCAATAGGCTAATTGACTAATGAAATAACGGCTATTATTAGTTACCAGAAAAAACACAACTATTATAAATACTCAATGCGTAAAATAGGAAAAGTTCCAATGCTAATTTTCCTAAATAACTCGTTAGCGCACGCTTCGCGCGCCTAAAAGCCTGGATCGCGCAAGCACTCTAGTGGCTTTGCCCCTCGTGCACGTTGCGTACACTCAAGTGCGCTTTCTGACTGCTTGGCGCAGCTGCTCAACATTCTTCCCTGCTTGTTCTTCGCAATTCCCAAACATCTAAACGTGTTATTATTTTCACTAATCTAACACCTTGTAGTCAATTATTGAAGATCATGCAACTCCTTAGTATGCATTTCTTGGATGTTCTTGGACTTGGAACGAGTCAATAGTCCACTTGATAATTCGGGGTCATCCTCACTATTCTCCGCTTTGCCCCAGCTATCCAGGATTATATCAGAAAGTGAAGTTTGGGCAAGCATAACGAAAGCTTAAATTTAAATCCTACAGCACAATTAAATAGTTAACCAACAGGGAGGTTTTTGAGAAATTGTTACAATTCAAAATCCTACCTAGTCATGATGGCACCTTACCCAACATGCTAGGTAAGCCAGAAAATAAATAACATAACTCGAATGAAAGATCATCAATAATCAATAAATAAAATGGTGGAAAATCTATACAACTATCCCAAAGATTGGTAGTACAAGTCATGAGCCACTAAAATTTAAATTTACAATGTTGATACAAAGAAAATACAACATATGTTTGAATATACATAAAAAGAAGTTCAAATCCTAAACTACCATGAACAAGGTGGTAGCTTGCAGCTGGAGTTCGAGTACATCCTCATTGCTAGCCTCCAAGATCCACATCAGCTCAGCTCTGAAATCTGCACGCTAGGTGCAAAAGTATAGTATGAGTACAACTGACTCCATGTACTCAGTAAGTATCTTGACTAACCTCACTGAAGTAGTGACGAGGTTTTTAAGTCAAAAGACAACTCACTAATATAATATGTGCAATTCGTAAGCAATAGAAATAACAAGAGAAAAGACAAGTAACATTGAAAGAGTCAAATAAGAGAAATAACGAGCATGAACCAACCCTTTCTCAATAAACGTGCACAAGATATCAAATCAAATGGTACGACAACACCCTTTGTGCATTTATCTCATCCTCACCAAGCATAAGTATAACTACACCAAAGAAGGTAGAAGGCGTATAGCTAATAATAACAATAAGATGGAAGGCATCGATATAACAATAGTAAATAAGGTAGAAGGCATGTAGATAATAGTAACAAATAAGGTAGAAGTCATGTAGATGATAGTAGTAAACCAGATAGAAGGAATATAGGAATATATGTAACAACAATAAATAAGGTAGAAGGCATGTAGTTAACGACAACCAAACAAGATAGAAGGCATACATGTAACTCTAACAAACAAGAAAAAGGCAAAGGTGTAACAATAATTCAGCATGGTAGAAGGCATATATGTGTGTGTGAGGAAAGGATGAACATAAGATAATGCATTTCTCTCGTCCTCGCCCGCGAAGAACCACCATTCATGCCATGAACTCTCATCCTCACTTGCATGGAAACACTCTTCGTGCCATTAACATATCGCTCTTCTTCACGGAAAACATCCTTCATGCAATAATAATAATGTTAGAAACCACAAAAATACTTTTCGTGTATAAATCACTCTCTCACAAGCATGAAAATACCCTTCGTGCAATTAACTCTTCATCACCAAGCATATATATAAAGCAATACCAAGCAAGGTAGGAAGCATAAAGAACATTAAGAAGAATTAGAATAATACTCCACGTGAGAGATAATCATAACTTTTGCACCAATAGGCGAGCCAACATTTCGAAAACTATAATGTTCAAATATCTCAACAAAACTTAAACATGACCTTTAGCATGAATATGGGAACTCAAATATCACAAGAATAATGGATATAGATAGGTGTTCATGATATAAAGTATGTTTTCAACTAAATCGAGTATATTAACAATCTTAAGAATATTCCCTCAAGTTTAATGAAGATATCATAACTAAAATACAATCTCTAGGATGGATAATTATACTCATACATTCAGTGAAACAAATGAAACCTAAGTCGAGAAGTTCACAAAGTTCAACAAGGCACGTAGAAGCATATAATCAATCCCGAGCATGGATAACCCTAACACATACATATACGCTTGCCACCTCGCATATGCTTCACCCTCGCATGTAGTAAAAATATCATTTATTAGGAAAAACAAAGCTAGGCAAAACACTTACCTAATCAGACTAGTCTTCAACCTCAAATCGTATCAAAATCTCATTTTAGCCTCCAATCATGCAAATCCAAGAAAAACATCATCCAAGGAAGTCAATCAATACTATAGGAAGCGATCCCAATTCATAAAGTTTCGATCTTTGATGAATTCTCAAAAAGTAAACAAAAGTCAACCCGAGTTCACGTGCCCAAAATCTAAAACCAATACCAAATTCGAATGATCCATAACCTGCCGAGTCCAAATATATAGTTAATTTCAAAAAAGAGTCCAAATCAGTACTCAAATCTCCAAATACGCCCATCTAAGTTACAAAAACCCCAAATTTTATCTCAAAAATTTAAATTTTAGGTATAAAAATTTATGGGGAATCAAGATATATAACCGAATCCAAGTGAAAATTATTTACCTTCAATATAGTAGTGAAATCCCTCTTTAAAATCTCCTCATCTCGAAGTCTAGGAAAAGAAATATGAAAGAATGAGAAAAATCCCAAAAATAAGCACTTACATACACTGCCTTGTGATACCCATTGCAATCGCGATAGGCCACTCGCGATCGCGAAAGCTAAATGCAACCCCTAGCTCCAACTCCTCTTTGCAACGCGACACCTGCCGTGCGAACACGAAGACCAACACTGCCCAACCTATGCGAATATGAGAATCCCTCCATGAACGCGAAGGCCAAACCTTCCGCCTGACTCCACTTCTGCACGAACGCGTACCACCACATACGAATGCGAAGAACTTGCCCACAATTGTACTTGAATGCTACCCCTTTTCGCGAACGCGAGTAACAAGTCCCTCAGCCATTAATTACCTTACGCGATTGCGAGACTTGTTCCGCGATCGCGATGAAAAACTAACACCAGCAAAATCTGCAGCTCCAAACTTCACCAAAACGGAAATGGGCCAAAAATACCCCTATACTATGCGAAAATGATCATTTATACCGTTTGTTATACTATTCGTCCACCATTATCCCTGACGCTATAGAATTGGATCAATTATACCCCTCCTCCGTTAGGACCCTCCACCATGGACAATGCCATCCTACGTAGTCTGATATTTTGATAAGGTGAATGCGATGTGACATGCCACTTCGCTGTCTTAACCCTATTTTATCCCATCTCCCATTTCTTCCTCCAACACCACCTCCTCGTTCACCTAATCACTACCACCACCACAATCTTTATCAACCGCCACCTCCTCTGTAAACCCACAATCATCATCACCATATTAAAATTAATTGGCGTGGACATTTTGACAAACAGTTGAGAGTCACTTCCAAAATTTCAAAGAAATAAAAATGGTGAAGTCCTATGAGCATCACCATAATCCACTACATCAGTTTTACATTACCAATCTATCACCGAAATGTACTGCCTAACTCACGACTACATCAACAATTCCATTCTAACACATTCATTTATGGAATAATATAAATAATTGTAGCATAATCCCTTCCAAAGTAAAATTCATTCATGAATGGATAAAATAACTTAATTTTATCTCTGTTAAACTTAGATAGATGCCAATACTAGAACAGGAGAAAATCAAATGCCTACAATCAGTTGGAATCGCGTGGATTGTTTTTTGTACAGATAGCAACGAAGAAGATGGGGCAACGAAAATAGGGAAGCTGTTGATATGAGAACCAAAGTTCATACCCACAACTCACACATAGTTTAACAGCTGAGACAATATCACATTATTTATTGCAAAATTTGGGTCAAAGTTTGAGTTCAAAAAATTAATTATGAGTATTAATATCTGTAAGATTTAGTAAATAAGAATTGAGTTGCGGAGATGACAAGGAAAAAAAGAAGGGAAAAGGACCAAATATACACCTTTACTTTAGTATATTGTTCATATCTACCCTTTGTCATACTATGTGGTCATATTTACCCTTATCGTTAGCCAAATTTTTTAAAAATACCCTTCACGTAACGGAAAGCCACCATATTAATAAAATAATCATTTTAAAAAAAAATTCATTAATCCAAACCTGTTAAACCCATCATTTGAAAATACGGAACCTAGATTTCTGAGACGTCTTTAACACATTTTATTCATTTAGAGAAAGACCGGGAATGATGGTGGAAGTAGGATTACTAAAAACTTATATTTTTGGTTATTAGTTGTTCATGGCGGCATTAGGATGTCATGTTATCACTTTCAGTTTTTTTTTTTTTTTTTTTGTGGTTATAATATGACATCCCTTTGTCTAATGTAATCCATACTTGACAGTTGATTTGTATGTTGGTAACAACTATTATATACTTTAATAATACATGTGTTTGGTTAATACATTAAGTTAGTGTACTTAGGTTGTTAAGTTACTTTCCAACTTGTTGGTGTACTTTCTTTCATTCTTGATGAATTCCTCGGACTGTAGCTTGATATAAATTGAATCTCCTCTAATTATTTTTAAATTTTTATTCATTATAAGTTCAGTTGTTACTAAGAATTATGAATATCTCATCTTATATCTTGGAATCTAACTTTGGTTCTTAAGGGGTGATTTGAAAATAATTACTTGTTGCCTAAATGCTTAAAGCAAAATAAGAAAATCATGGTGCGTGAATACTCATCAACAAAGGCTCACTGTTGGAGGAAGAAATACTTTGATAGCTATCTTAAGACTTTAGAATTGCCAACCTAATAAGATGTTATAAATATTCAAGTCATGGTGGAAAGAAAATGATGAATACTCGGTACAATCCGACATGGTAAAAAAAAACAAAGAGAGAAGCTAGAAGAAAAAAATAAAAATTAGAAAAAGGTAGAATATAATAAACACACAATAAAGATATTAAAAGAATTGTGACTCAATGTATAAATGAATATATGGTTATCGGTATTTTTATATCTTTCACTTCTTGAATTCAACAAGTGACTACGAAGGAGATGACTAATATGTGAGGAAGAAGTGCAGTAAATAAAAGGGGTTTAACGGGTTATTAATGGATTTTAAAAAAATAGGTATTTTTTCATTTTGGTGGCTTTCTGTTAGGTGGAGGGTATTTTTAAAAAGTTTGCCTAACGGTAAGGATAGATGTGTCTCGATAGTATAACAAATGGTACGTGTGAACAATATACTAAAGTAGAGAAAAGAAGAGATCTATTTATAGTAAAGAGATACCGCAGATCTGATTTCGGAGGGTTAATTTTTCTGTTTTTATAACCCGACCCCATTTGGATACGATCATAGAACCCTGACACAACTGCTCAAACTGCTCGCGCCATGTATCCCAAAGGCTCCGGGGAACAAAATCTCAATTAAATCTCAAAAAATTGAGCCCATGTGAGTGAAGCTGCCTCAGTTAGGCTAGCCTCCTCCCAATCCCACCAAGACTATTACGCTAGTCCAGATAGCTAGAAAAAAGTGAAAGAACTGCCTCTCGTCTTCACTATACCCATGTTATGGAGAATACAGTGGCACTTTTCCAGAAAGCCTTGTGCGTCCTTTGTAGCTAGGCCACTGAAAGAAGGAGGATGGTATTTTTTGTACCACTCGAGCCTGAGCTACTCCTCCTTAGAAGTTTATGCCCTAACCTCAGCCTGAACTGGGACAACCAGCTGCACTTGTATAACCTATGGGACCTGTTCAACATGGAATCACTGCTCT